CTGCAGAAACACCATACAACACCAGAGCAGATGCATTCTGCACAAACGCACAGGATACCAAGCCACATTTCACACCTAGATTTCACACTCATTTGCGTGTTTCTGAGCCGTTTTCATAACAGAAATATGCACCCTAGCTTTTGTGCATCTCACTAGCATGGCTATAATGCACTAAGATCACACTTGATAACAAAATACACAAACTTGCTGGTACATGAACAGCTGGCAAAACACAATAAAAGCTTATTCCCCCTAAGACTTTCTTCCTCTTAATTGCCCTTTACATATCCACCTCTTACAGTCACATTAAAAAACAGGGTCTTCATAGCACTTCATGTGAAGAGATTTCACTCCATTTGCCAAAATAGTGGTTTTGCAGCAAGAAATTCCAACTGCCAGGAGTACAGATAACAGAATGAAATAGATACAAAGGAAAGTGGTTTAGTTATTTATCTATGTTAAGCTTAAGAGAAAGCTCCCCCCCCAGACTGACTTTACTGCCATACTCAGGATAAATTTCCACTGGGGTCACAGGGTGAAATTTCATAGAAACAGAACACAAAACAAAACAAAAGACATCCATCAAAAAAGCCTTGATAGATTTGATTTTTAATGCCATGGCACCCAGTAACAGAGCACAAACTCAGCCTGCCAAAGTGACCTTGATAAACAGCGTCACATTTCACATTTTCACATGGTACTATGTCAAGTAAGCACCTTTAGCTTGAGTTTTCTTATGTATTTTGATTAAATAGAGCCTGATTCAACATTAAAAACAATCTAAAGGAACCTGTGGGGCAAACAGGAAATAGGAATTCCCATGACAAATAGGAAGACACTTAGTTTGCCAGGCTGAGACAAAAAGGCTTTTAACATCCAAACCAAATTTCAAACCTCCTGTGCAGAGACAGAGCTGAAGCAACTGTAAAGAGGACACTGCAGCACAGCCTCTTTGGATTCTGAATGCTGGCAAGGTCTTTAGACCTTGGATCTATAACACTTGAGAAGCAGAAGTAATTCTACATTTCTTAAAGGTCACACCAACTATACCGACATCAAACAATTCAAAACCCATTACTGAAACAGGTAAGCAAACTTTTATCATTGTAAATTTGAAAACCCTACAGAATAAGCAGATACAGTTTGTTCTACTCACTCCCTCTCAAGACAAATTAATATCATACCGTGTAGAGCACAAGATGTTCACTTCACTTTTCACTATGTTATTGCAGTATACCTTGCAAAGAAGTACACAAGACTTGGAAGACAGACAAGGTATCCTGTCTCCTAACAGCAATTTTCATAGTAGAATGGATTGCTTAAACCTGATTGGCTCTTGGAAATTCTGTCCATATTTAGTTAATTTATGATGACAAAAAAAAAAAAAAAAAAGGGGGGGGGGGAAATTCTACCCCAAAAAGAACTGCTACTGACCTGGCCAAATCAACTGAACCTCCCTTTGCAGATAATGGAGAAAATGGACTAGAGAATTCTACATCAGTAGTTCATATTTTTTTCCCCTCTTCTGGCAAGCAGTAAAAGCACAGCTCTCCAAACAGCAGGAAACTGAAATCCACAAACCTCAAGCCCTCTTTAGAATTGTCACCATGGATTTTGTATGAAGACAAGCAAGTCTCTTTAATTAAAAACCCTGTATCACTGTGAAGACATCTGTGAGCTGAAGTCCAGCACCACACTCAAACCTTGTGCAATCCAGCTCCCCTTTCACAGTTTGCCTCAGGTTTTCTGCAATAGAACTACCCAAGACAGGAGAGCCGGAGAAGCTAAGGAAGAATTAGGCATTCCCTTAAAAAAAACCAAAAAAACAACTTCTTAAAAGAGTGAAATCAGCTGTGACTGCTGCTGGATAAAGAGATGGAGAGCTCAGGACAAATTTGTAGTGAGATTGCCAGGTTTGAAGGTGAAATCAGGAAGCATGGGGAGGGCCCCCAAACCCAGGGTAAGCAGTAGACAAGATCCAACACCTGATGAGGCCAGGACTGCTAACTCATCCCAAATAACATTCCAGCCTTCCATCCAGCTCACGTTTTAACAATCAAAGTGAGATTTACGAGTAAAGTAAAAAAATCCAGGGACAGGTATTTCACAGCTCAGATTACTTCAAAGAAGGAATATTTTCTAAAAAGTATAAAAAATAACATTCACCATTCATCAATAATAAAATATTAGTGTAATACAAGATATTTAATAAGCCAAGCAAAACTAGCCCTTCCTAAAAATTTCCATCAGTCAGAGCATTTGACATACAGGAAGAGCTATGAAAATGTAAGCTAGGGAGAGACACGTAGCTAACTGTATTAGCTACACAGTGTTAAAGCTGTTTATCCAAATGTTTAAGCATGCAGCCTCATCAGAAGCTTTGAAGGAACTTTAGTGTTGGGAGTAACTGTCCACCTTCAGATTTGTCTCAGTAAATGATCTTACTTCCCCATGTAAATCTGTTACATAAACTCAACAAGTAACATCTTCATATTTCTCTGCAGAAGTCATATGCTAAAATATATATCCATAGCAAGCTTAATAATTCAGCATACCTATCAATCCCGCTACTTTGCCTCCAAAATTCACAGTGAATTCAGGCCTAGGCCGATTCAAACAATTGCTTCGCCTGCAGACTCCCTCACAGCCTCCACTCATCCCTGGCAGCCAGCAGCACTGTCCTCTACAGGCTGACTTCAATGCTCCACGCAGGTCCTCCACTCTGTGGCTTTTTTGGGGTGTTGGGTTGGGGTTTTTTTTCTTCTTACAGTACAGTAGACTTCCAGGCACTAAGCAGAGTATTAATCTTGCATTTTTGGTTCACAAAAAAGCCTTCACCTAATGTGAAATCTTTCAGTCAGATCAGAAGATAAGGAGACGATAGATGATAAAGGAGGACATGTAAGAGGCACTTGGATACACCTGCTCAAACAGATATACCTTAGGCTGAGGAAGACAGAATTCTTTGATCAGAAAAACTAAAGCGGCCTCAGGGATAAGTCTCTGCAGGGAAAGAGAAATCCAAGCAAAAGAAGGATCAGCCGCACTTGCAAGGTTTGGGGAACCAGTGGTGAACTGGAACTGGACGCTTCAGTTAGTCCAAGAAAGCCAATAAAAGAAAAGATGTATTTTCAGGAAAGATTTAATCTTATCTTGAGGGCTGTAGAAACTGTCAGACAGCAGAAGGGGGAAAAAAAGCAAAAATAGGGCTCTGGAGTAGTAACACTGCCACATGCTGCCACTAACATCATCAGGGCTGTACAAATCTCACAGGACTAATTACTGCTCAGATTAATCTTGTGACTTGTATCCTAATTCTGGTGGAATGATCAATTTGTGTGAAGTAAACAGCATTCAGTCCTGCACGGATAGATACAGTTACTTACATAAACCCCGTTCAATATGCAGGTTCAAAAAATCTGAGATACTGCAGGGCTTTAAAGCCAGCTCAAATTTAACCAAGTAAAATAAAAACAATGTTGAAAACAAGCAAGTGACTAGAAAACTGCCTTTTTAAAGACTGCTATTGCATTTGCAAATACTTATCCAAACAGAAGTTTTGTTAGTAACTAATTGTTTACATACTTTTTCTCTGATACAGAACAAGAAAGAGACATTCTCCCCATTATCCCTGCTATGTAGGCATCATTTACATACAGAGAGTGCCTGTAAGCCAGTAAAACCTAAAAATATTCTCATCTTTGAGATTGAAAGTCAGATTTAAATGGCATATGTATGGCCTGATTTTAGTATATCTATTTAACACATCATTAATGGGTAAATAAACAAGTAAATTTCTTCTGGCAAGGAAGATAAATGGAAACATAATTAGGCATCAGATGGAAACACAGCTCCACAAGGACTTGATCCTATTATTTCTATTTTGGATAAGGTTCCGGGTTAGTTCTGGGGACCAAGATGGGACTCCCAAGCTCTGCCATCCACGCTTCAAATTCTCTGTGTCATTTCAGAAAAAGAAAACAGAGCTCTACTCGATCGTAGATCAGAAATTGAACATCATCCCCCGCCCCCACCTCTTCTGGTTAATTTCAACTTACAACTCTGCTCAATTTCATTCTCTGTAATACCTTTCTTGCGGTTTCCATTACATCTCGGCAGACGCTGCTCTTTGCAAACGGGGATCCCACAGCTCAATTACTCCATCAAATTAACCCTTAGCGTCACCCGCAGAAGCCGCTAATCCCACCCGAGTATTCCCAAGTTTGGAACGCGACACCAAACCTTTGCAGACGAGATCCTCCAGGCCCCCGGCACCGCTTCGGCAGGGCCGCGACCGCAGCTGCACGGCGGGGCCGGCATGCAGGCTCCACGGGCAGCGCCGGGAGACACCGGCCCGGATCCCCGGCGCGTCCCGGCTGGAGGCTGCCCCGGCAGCCCGGATCCCCGCACGACGGCTGCGTGGGCTGGGCAGGGCTCTCCGGGGCAGCCGGGCCCCCTTCCCACCCCCGGCACCGGCCCTGAGGGGCAGGAGAGCGGCTGCCGCCCCGACACTGGCCCTGAGGGGCAGGAGAGCGGCAGCCGCCCCGGGCACCGGCCCTCAGCGGGCAGGAGAGCGGCAGCCGCCCCCGGCACCGGCCCTCAGCGGGCAGGAGAGCGGCAGCCGCCGCCGGCACCGGCCCTCAGCGGGCAGGAGAGCGGCAGCCGCCCCGGGCACCGGCCCTCAGCGGGCAGGAGAGCGGCAGCCGCCGCCGGCACCGGCCCTCAGCGGGCAGGAGAGCGGCTGCTTCCCTCAGCGCGTTCCAGCCCGGATCAGCCCCGGCCAGCGGCTCCGGCAAACGCGCCTGCTTCCGCCGCCACGGCTGCGCGCCCGGTGGGCTGTGACCTTAAGAAACTTGGTAAGGGAATGAAAGGGAGGGACTTTGCCGGATCCGATTCTCGGCTTCTAATCGCTCCTGACGCGCCGGTGTCCGAGGGGAAAACAAGGAAACAAAACCCTGGCCAGCAGCACGAGCCCCCGCGCCCCTCGCAAGCGGCGGTACCTGTCCGGCGGCGGAGCGGCCAGCGCGGCACCTTCCCCCTCCGGGTGCGGGAGGCACGGGCGGCGGGCGAGCGGCTATTTATAGCGCGGAGCCTCCAGCAGCGCGGCGCAGGGCGAGAGGAAATGAGGAGCGGCGCCTGGGCAGCCGGAGCCCAGCCCGCCCTGCTCCCCGCCGGGAGGGAGGGGAGAGGAGAGGTGCGGCTGGCTCCGGGCACCGGCGCCGCTGCCCCCAGCGCCGCCCCCGGCAGCGCCCTCCTCACCGCCAGCCGTGGCGGCAGGCAGCGAGGGAGCCGCCAGCCTCCTCTGCTCTGCGGCCAGCAGGCAGCGCGGCGCGGCTCAGCCGCGCAGAGGTGACCCGCTACTGCTGCTGCTGGAGGAGGCGAGACCGACGCTGGGGTGTGGGAGGGAGACGCCGGCGCTTGCCATTCACCTCCTGCCGCCCAGAGGGAGCCCGGCCGCCGCTGCCGGGGGCTGGGAGGCGGCGGGGCTCGCCCGGCCCGAGGGCACGGACGGACCGGGCTGGGGGCGCGGCCGAGGAGGCGGCGCCGGCCGGAGCCGCGATGGAGAGCTCTGCATGGGCACCGCCCGGGGCTCTGTGGCTCAGGGGAGGGCAGCGGGACCGGTGGGAAACGCTGGTCCCTTCCCTGTCCCGGAGCTGGAAACAGCATCTGCCGAGAAGGCGAGCAAGCGGTTTCTCGGAGCCGCCGGGCTGGCTGCCTTCCAGCTTCAAAACTTGGCGGGGTGGGCGATGAGGGATGCCCAGGCCCGCCAGGGAGGAAGGTGGCAGCGCTACACCTCGCCTGCGGCCGGTGCTGCCGCTCCGGAGAGTACCAATGGCATCCATCCACCCGGCCTTTGATCCGTGGCATCGGAAAATTGGGTTTGTATGGATGGCAACAGAGGAATTGGGACAGAGGAATTTGTAAAGGATTTTTCTCACTTGGTAATAATCTTTTTTTTTTTAATCCAGGTTTTTTCCTACTTCTTTTGTAGTTAGATAAATTCTGGTATTTGAAGCTTTAATCAATCCTTTTGAGACTACTTGTGCATTATTGCAGGACACCGTCTGGGATTTGAGCAGCATAACTCACTCCTACACCATCATTCTCCAAGCAACTGAAGTTAATAGAGATTAGATAGCTACGTTAGCCTACTCAATATCATTTGTTTCAAGATTGGATTTACTGTTTCCTGTGTTGTAATAGCTGCAGTCATCTACAAAGTACCAGCACAAAGCCTTACAATGATCTGTGCAGAGCAAGACTGATTCAGCTTCAAGAGCTTGAAGTCAAAACAGAGATACAGAGACACAAAGAGGGAAACTAAAAAAACAGCATTATAAGCTACACAAAATTAAAAAGAAAAGCCTGAGAAGGCACAAGAGATACTTGACCTTGTTGTTATCTTGCTGTTATATTTCATTTTTCTAAAGTCCCATACCTTCTCAGCAATGTTTCTTGGGGGCAGTTCTTCACAGCACAGACTTGTTCTTCTGCTTGTTGCTGCTTCTCAGCCAGGGCTCCTTCCAGGCTCTCCCTGCCCGGCCAAGCCCACCCCCTTTTATCCCAGTTATCTTCACCAGCCACAGCTGCAGCCCAATGAAGGACACCACAGCTGCAGCCCATCAAGAACAACCGGGGCTCATCAGGGCAAGGCCTGTATACAGATATTCAAATACAGTACCGATATTTTAGTGGGACTCCTACTATATGCCCTTGTCCAAACACCTAAACAAAGTAATACAGAAAAAATCTAGCTTGATGAAACTACCCACTTACATAATGCTCCTCATGCATAAATGTTTGCAGAATAAGGATCATATTGAACAAATCATTGTAATGAAGTTAAACTACCTTTTCAATTCGGAGTTTAGTCTTCGCGCATCTCTCATGAACAATATTTGGCTCCTCACAAGAGGAGTTTCATCACAGTCTTCCTTGTTAAACTTTTAATGTTCCACAGTGTAACGCACAGCAGGAAAGATCCTGCTGTCTCAGAAATTGGAAGCAGTAGGCCCAGGCTGCCACCAATGACAATCCAGATGGTGAACAGGGAACTTGAAAAACTTGGCTATGTGCAATTCCATTGCATAGGTTGTTCCTTTCTCTGTGCTCCCTCAAGAGCCAAATACTATTGGGGTTTAGTCTGGGGTTGCTTTTCAAATGAAAGCAATGCCAAACTCCTGTGTAAGTTCAGAACAGAGTACTGAGTCTGTAAAATGGATGTTCTGATAGGTTTGGAGGGAAATGCAATGACAGCCCCTGCTTTCTTTTTTCAGTAATAAAACCTTGACTTTGTATAGCACTGAACTTTATTAAGAGCAGTTATCAAAAAATATTGTCTTGAAGAACGCTTTTTCTTGGGGCAAGACTTTGTTGTCCAACCAGTCATACTGCAGACCACAGGAAGGAAAAAGGCTAATTTTTAGATTAGTCTTATGTTAAGACTCAAGATGTTACTTGAACATGGGTGTTCAGAAATCTACCCTAAGTCAGAATGGAAAAAAATATATTAGATAATCAGAGTTTCATTGAGCTCCAAAATGTTTTATAATGGATATATAGTCTAAAGCTCTCTTCTGTCATGTAGTCAAAATTTTCAGAGCTTGAAAATACACTTAAGCATAAAAAATGGTACCTAATGCTCAAAAATACTATCCTCAAAATTATTTTGAATGTGTTTCTATGCTACCTACCTCTGAAAATCACATTTCCTAAAGTGCCTAGATATGGATTTAGGGCATCTAACTGCATCCACTCAGGCTTGAAAATTTTAGCCTACCTCTACCTGTGCTTCATAATAAATGTATCAGAAAGCTTCAGACAAGCTATAAAAGTATTCTCAAAAAAGCAATGCAGACTTCAGCCATTAGAAAACAAGACACCGACCTAAGAAAGCACTTGACTGTATAATTCAGCTCATTCTGGTATATGGAAAGTAGCATCTGAAGCCCAGCTTCTAACAGACATCTGTGGTAGAAGGAGAAAAATTAATATGAAACACCTCCATAATATGGCAGTTTTATTATTAATATCTTTCCACTGTTCCCAACCTTCAAGGAACGGCAAAAGTCTCAGTAGGAAGAAATGCAAATATTTATTGTTGTAGGCCTTTGCACAGAGTACATTTTGATGGATAGGAAGGGTTTGTTTTCAAGAAGCTCTTTTTGTGTTACCTTCCATTGGCATTCAGTATAACAGTTTACCAAGGGCAAGGACTGAGTGCACACCAAATGCAGCTGGGGCTGTCATGCTAACCTTGTTGGGAGGCAGAGAAGTTTAATTTGGGCTCAGAATCAGAGGGACTGAAGAGGATCTAAAGCATACTGTGTTCCCAAGCAATGAAATATCTTTGAAGGCAGAGTTAGGGTAAAACTCGAAGGCTGCTCACTCTCTGGGCAGTTGATATGAATAACTGCATGGGATAATTGCATTGCTTTTCCATACTACCCACAGTACAGCAAATATTGTTGAATTTATGCCAGTTTTTTAGCTGCAAAAAATCAGGGAATCAAAAATTAAATCCTAATGAAAGCATAAACCTTTCTTCCATCAGTGCAGGATCACTTCCACCCCTTAAAGTCATCTCTTGCTGGAACCAACAACCCTGCCAAAACCAAAGGATGCTTCTGTAACTGAAAATAAACCTAAAGCATTAAATGAAAATCAGCCAAAACCACATCCTAGCAGAAGTGAACTTGACTGGTGGGGCTTCCTGCATAGCAGTGTCACTCTAGATTACTGCACAGAATTGAAATGCTTGCACTGTCACAGAACTGGTGACCATAAACTTCATTTAGCTCTCCGTGCCCCACACCTTACCTACGCTGATGGTGGACATGTGCCAAAAAGCTACCTTGATAACCTAAATATTGCAATTTATACCAAACATACATATTGCAGTGCAGCTACAGAACGACTGCAGGAGAAGCCAGAAGTTCCAGACCTGGGTTCTGCAGGGGAACTGCAAACCATGACTCGCTGAACAAATCAAAGCCTTAACTTTGCAGGTTATTCTGTGTGGGCAATAGATTGTACCAGTGTCAACATCAAACAACTTGCAGGATCAACACCCACCAGAGGAAGAGCTGTGTAACTAGTGACACCGAGGTGAAACTGAAACTGAGAAAAATACCTTACTACCAAATACAGAAGAAAGCAATGTCAAAGGAAAACACTTACTCAGTTCTCTGAAATTATCACATACTTTTCATCAAAATACCTGGAGGAAAGCCAATACAGAGCTGCTATAGAAAGCACTGCAGAGAGAGCATCACACTGTGTACTAACTAAAAGAGTTGGTGTTGGGCAAATAATAAAAAATCCCCAACCAAAATGATGTCTTATGCTGCCTAGATTGAACCTCCTGCAGAAAGGTAGGTGAATTTGCTTCCTTCACATTTTGGCAATATTTACTGTGTTGGTTGTACAAGTAGGGAATGATTGTAACGCAGTAACCCTAATGTTTTTCTGTGCATTGGATAAAACATGCAACTGTTTATCATCAATCTAAACAATAACTTCACTTCTTGCCCCACTGCCAGGAAAAAGGCAGTCGTAGAAATCCCAAAGCACTATTGCACTATTATTGTTCTTTTCTTCAAAAGCATTTTCTCTCAGTTCCAACATTTGTTGCTGTGCCAAGTTTTGTGAAAAACTAAGGGACAAGAAGCAAAGTTCCTAAGGACAGAAAATATGATTTTATCACTAATATGAACTTGGAAACATCATGTTCATATGACACAAAATGCTAAACAGCATGAGCCTTCTCTATTGTTCAACATATTAAATGGAGAGACTTTATTGAAGCAGCCTCCACATGAGGTATCCTCTCTTGGAGCTTGTAAAACCACTGGATGGTGTTCCCTGGCCACTCTGACAATAGTGCAGCTGTGTGCCCGGGCCAAATCTGGATCAGATTTGCCAGGCAAGACAGACATGTGCAGTTCTTTTAATAAATACTGTGGGGCTGCTGCGTAAAAAAGCCCTTCCAAAACAAAAATAAAAAACAAACAAACAACCCCGAGATGGAGTTTTAATTTCATTTTCTGCTCCCTTTGC